GGTAAGTACAGTGTTTGAATAAAGGACATAATAATAGATTGTGTGTTTACAGTGTTAACGGCTATCTTGATTTATATATATATATATGTGTGTGTGTGTGTGTATAATATACATATATATATATTTTTATTTCTTGATTCATTTATTCTATTGATCCTCTTTTGTTTTATGTTATCATGTTGACACAATCTAGCATAATGCTGCGATATCAAATTTGTTTTTAAAAATATACTCTTTTTTTTAGACGACTTATTATTAATTGAAATCTGTTCTCAATCCACCATAATTTGTTAATTAATGACAATTGAATTGCTGATTCAGGTCGAGACAGTGTGCAGGCAATGCACAAGACTCATAATCATTCCTTGGGGCAGCGTTTCAATGAGGAGTTATCGTCAGCAGACAGAGCGGTTCTGGAAAAAGTACACAAAGCTTTGGTAGCTAGCAAAGAGTATGACTTAAATGAGTTGAGGACTTCGTGTGAAGACAAAGATCCGAGTAGGAATGGACAAATTCCAAAGAAAAAGGTATGTAATATGATTTATGTGAAGTAGCTTAAGTAATGCACAGATTATCAAATTGTATATGACAAAAACATGTGACATGCCTAAATATAGTCATGATGACATCACATCATGACCATATATAGGCACATCATGACTATATATGTGCATACAACAGTTTTTCATCAAAGAAAATGTTGTAGTCTAGAGAGAGCTTTATGTTATTTTATTATTTATTTTTGATTTCTTGATTTTGCAGTTTCACTATAATTCTCTTGTCTTTGCAAAACACATTGTAGAATTGTGTGCATTTGTTTGTGTTGGATGTGCTATTGTATACATGTATAAGACTAATATTATTATTATTTATATTATTATTATTTATATTATTATTATTATTATTATTATTATTATTAGCAGTAGTAGTAGTAGTAGTGGTAGTATTAGTATTATTGATTTACAAAGAATGTAACACTCTAAGCAAATATATATTATTAAAATATTGATTATAAAGTAAAATAAAGAAAATAGTGTAAAGTAAAATAATATTTCAGATGTTTGTACAACTTTTCACATTCCAATGAAATATAACAAAAGCGAATTTTAAATCTAAATTTCATGTCTTTGGACTACTTCAGAATGAGATATAATGCAAGTGATTAAATTTTAAAGTATTTTTATATCTTTATAATTTTATAAAATACAATCCTTGCTTTAGCCATTCAAGTGTTGATTTCTTTATTGATTGCTATTTGTCAGTGTTGTTCATGATCTAAGTTTTCTTCAGTAATTCGAAATGTCACATGGTTGTAAGGAAATGCGCAATTCTTTGTAGAATTGAGCAATTTTCATTAAATGCAATCAAGGGTTATTAGCTGATATCCATTCAGCGTATTGATTCTGTGCAAGCTTCGTTGAGGGGTGATTTAATACATTTGTTGCTATGGTTATGAGACACACTTATTGCTGTAGCTAGACCATAGTGCATATGGGATATTATGTATTTTCCACATATTTTCAGCAAGATACTTAATTACTAGTAAAAATCTACTTAAATTATTATCATCGTCGTCACCACCACCTTGTGGAATTTCAAGTTAATATTATAGTGTCTAAAATATGATGCCTAAAATAGTCATTATCATTGATTGATTATTATTGTGTATTCATTACAGTTTTCATAAACATCATATGAAAGGTATTTAAGAAAAGAACTGAAATATATTATTAAGATTGGACCCCAATGGAAATAAGCCATCTTTTTGGCTTTTTTTGGATTCTTGTCTTTGACCTGGTTTGTTTAATTCTTTATGTACCTTTTGTGAATGTGTTCAGATTTTTCTGAATAAAATAAAATAAAATCAAGGTATTTATTTTATAAAGTATATTAGATTGTTCTCTAAGAAGTTAGTTTTTTGTATTTTAGTAAAATAATAATAATAATAACAAGAGCACTCAGTAGAGAGCATAATTCCACCCACCACAAAGCCCTTTTTATCAAATAAATCTCCCAAAATATGTTCTAATTTCCAATCACCACCCTACCCACTTCTATCCTCTACTTTAAAAAATCAACAAAACAATGAAAATAATAGTACTGTAAATACAGATATTATAATCCACCATTTATTTAGACGTATTCTGAGGGCTTGTGTACGTCATGATCATAGCTTTACTAGGTGTGTAGTATCTAACTGTTACGGCACATTAAAGGATACAGTAGTTAATCAATTCAGTCCAGGGGCGGATCAAGAGATTTTCTGACGGGGGGGGGGGGGCACAATATGAAGTCCACGCCACAACGCCCACCTTCGTCCCACCATGGTTGGTGTAAATAAGTGGTAAACAATCGTGCTCTCCTTTCTTCCACTGCTGGATCGCCACTGAACTCATGGGTGCACGACGTTTTTCCCCCTTTCCTCTCTTTAACTCAAATTTTTCTTCCTCTTTTTTATTTTTCGGCTTGACCAATGGGGTGGGGGCACAGGCCCTCATGTCCCCCCCCCCCAGCTGGATCCGCGTCTAGTCTTTTGAATTGCATACAAAACAATACAAGTCTGAAATTAGCTTGAAATGGAATAAAACTATTGTTTCTTCCAATGTAGAAGTTAAACAGTTGGTACTGTCAATACAGTTTTATATGGAGGACTGTATACTGTAATATATGCATTTATTACATCTTTCCAAAGAAAGTTTTTTATTGTTCTTTACCATTTTAAAGAGGGACTGTCTCCACAATCAATTTGGACTTTGAACGAGCTCACATCCTTCATCCATGCTACTTAATGAGAATTTAAATAACATCCAGCATTTTCCAATTTTAACTCGTTTGTAACTACATTTGATAATAAACCAAGCACAATATGATGTGAACTTACTGCGAGCTTACATCAAATTGTGCTTTGTTTATTATTGATAGTTCTACAATCATTATAAGCAAACCAAATGAAACCATTTGAATACATTATTGTATTATCAAATATAGTATGCAGAAAAACCATAATAGTTACCATAGTAACTACCTTTGTCGAGAGTTCTGTAATATGATGTTCATGAGTTATTAATCAAAATAAGAATTGAAAGTTCAAAAGTCACTTTTATTTATTGAGATTAAATGTGTTGGCATGGAGATTGAAATTTTATTGTATTTCATGTTATTATCATTTCCTTTGAGTCAATAAAAGTATAATTCAGTATTAGATAGACATTATTAGAGGACATCATTTTTGTCAGAGGAGACTTCAAGGTGGGTGGGGGAATTGGGATGAGAAGGGAAATTTTGCAAATCATGAGTTTGCAAATTAAAGAATGATGTAGAAAGCAAAGGAAGGGGAACGGAAGGGTAAAAGAAAAGGAAAAATTAAAAAGGGCAAGAGGAAGAGGGGAAGAAAATTTGATAATGCAATTTAGATTTTTTGATAATGTGTAACACAAACATACAGTATACATTTATAAAATAATTATAAAAAAGTGATATGGCCAATGGAAAGATAATTGAAAATTATAGAATAATAGCAGAGTGACTGGACTTCATTTATAGGTTAAAACTTTCCCACACAAGTAAAATATACGAGCTGTACTGGGTAAAGACAACTTGATTTCTTGCTTTGAACAGTTTATCCATTCGTAGAAGTCTTATGAAGATAAGCCTATCCAACAGTGACATTAGATTGAAATAAAAAAATAAAAAAAGAGTGAAATATGTTAAATACAAGCACAATGTATACATAGTCTTATGAATATATCATTATGTATTGAATTGATATATTCATATTATTCTTATTATTTTTTTTTTTTTAAATTATTATTATTATTATTATTATTATTATTATTATTATTGTTGTTATTATTATTAGTCAAACCTCAAATTGAAGCCCTTATCAAGACTACTTTTGCAAAGTAAAGAGGGAGGCTTCTTTTCAAAATGAATGCTGTAAATTTTGTGAATTTGTACAATTTAACAATAAATAATGTAAATGTAACATCAATCTGTATTATGGAGTGTATTAAACTTGCATTAAATCACCTAAACTAATGTATAAACCAAGCTTGTTTTTAATTTATTTTGTTTTTTGAAATTCATGCACAGGGTAAGTACTGTACTATCTCGAAAAGAAGCCTATGCTATTTTGAAAAGAAGCCCATTGGCTTCTTTTCAAGGCTAATTTTGCAAACTAAAGAGGGGGCTTCAATTGGAGATGGGCTTCGTCTTGAGATTAAGCCCACTGGGCTTTAATTCAAGGTTTTACACTATGTAAATGGACAGCTTTTCCGTTTATGTAGAGAGCATAGAATTTCTGGCATTATGCACTACTGTATATAATTGGTAACATTATTATTAAATCTTTGTAGTTTAAACGCATTGTTGAGGAACAACACCTTCCATTGTCTGGTGCACTTTTGAACAATTTATTGAAGAGGTGTGATGAAGAAAACAATGGAATGGTCAAGTAAGTAAACATAATGCTTAGGAACATCTCAGTATGTTCTTAAATACTTGCATAAATTATCGAACCCACAACCTCCAGATAAAAGCCTGGTGTCATAACCACTAGACCACTGAGTTTGCGCTTATTGACTAGTGTTCTATCTTATTTCCCAAGTAACAGCAGGTACTGCAATGCATTTTTGATGTTTATCAATAATGCTTTGATGGTTGTAAAATAATTTAAAGTCAGGCTCCAGAAAAAAATGTTTTTGATATGTTATACAACTAATTTTTCTAAGACAGAAAAAGCATATTTGATAAAAACTTGGGAACAATTAATGAGATACAGATTTTTGAATATTTAAAAAACTGAGGAAAAAGGGGCATAAAAACCACCTTTTCCACTTTTTCTCCCCAGTTTTTTAATATTCAAAAATCTGTAGCTCATTAACCATTCCCACTTTTTTCGTCAAGTATGCCTTTGTATCTTAGAAAAATCAGTAGTTCAACATATCAAAAAATTATTTCCCTCTGGAGCCTGAATTTAATATGTTTAAATAAAGACGGTTTTTTTGTATGACACCAAAACCATTATTTTCTATGCATCATAGTATGTGCTTATAGCAGGATGAGTAAAATTAAGGCATTTAAATATCATAACAACAGCGATCTTCATTGATTGGTTGTACAATTTTAAAATTTCTTTCTATATTATATTTTTGTAATTTCATTGTATAATGATTGTAACTGTTTAATCGAGCACAATTTGATCTAAACTTACTGCGAGCTTTTGTCTATGTTATTAACTTGACTTCGTCAGACTATGTATAATGTTGTTGTATAATGTTGAATATATTAATATTGTATTTTATCTTTTTATGTAAAGCGCATTGAACAGATGTAAATCTAAAAATGCGATATATAAATAGATATTATTATTATTGTTAAATAAATGTAGTAAACACATGTATTTGTTTGCCACCAAAATATATGTATATTCTCTATTTAGCTGGTTTGAGTTTATGGTACTCTTAGAAAAAGCAGAGAATTTAAGTATCAGCCATACAAAGTCAGCGACAGAGGATGGAACAGCCCAGTCAAATCATGGATGTAAGGCAAATTCTACTGCAAAGAAATCAACTAATGCTCCGGTTACAACAAATGGTAATTATTCAACATTTTGAAAAACACAATTTCCTAATTACAATCTTAGCATTCTTAGTTGTACTTTTGTTTTGGGTTGAACATAATTTTTCCAAATAATAATAATAGTTGGTTGATAGTTATCATATCATATAGTAAAATTCCTCAAAAACACTTGGTTTCTATGATCTGCCACCATGAAGTCAAAGAGAAAGAAAGTTGGGTGGAGAAATTCATATGATCATATAATCATATATGATCATATATAATCATATATGATTATATTATTTTGATCATATATGATCATATATAGTTCATATAATCTATAATTCTTAATGGAAGCCTATAACAATTTTTTTTTAAATATATTCTGATTAACTTTATATCAATTCTTGGTAAATATTTCCTTGAAATGAACTATAAATTACCAATCTAAACTTAACGACATATTCAGGATTGACAATACTTAAGAGGTTTGAGGGTGATCAAGGATGTGGAACCCACATTCAGTAATACTTGAGAATGAGTAAGGATATTGACTCGTTCATATTTAATAGGAAGAAAAATGAGATTAAACTATTTGAATATCTGTCTTTATATTTCATAGCAGCAAGTAAATCAAATGTTAAACCTGGAACAGGAAAAGCAAAAGGTAAACGGTCTTTTGATATTCGCTTATCATATATATACCATGAAACTCGCGTATAAGACGACCCCGTGTTTGAGAATGTTTTTGTATGTCAGGAGTAAAAGAAAAACCCCCCGTCAGAATTCATAATTTTTGCTGCTCTATATGGTCTTAATACTGCATGTAGCGGGCTAAAAACAAAACCAAATGCTGGGCTAATCTTTAAAATAATGCCATTTTAAGGGCTTTCAAATATTCATTAAGATCTTATTTCCCAGTATTTAAAATTGTGTTCATTCATACATACATTTAGTAGGTTCATTGCAGTAGTAAATTCGCGAGTTACGGATGATCCGCACATAAGACGAACATGATTTTAAAAATCTAATGTTTGTATGTTGCGCGTATAAGACTGTTTTTTGGATGTAATTTGCTATTTTAAGCCTCTTCTTATATGCGAGTATATACGGTAATTCATGTAATTATAAACTAATCAGAAATTTCATATTTCTAGATACGGACTGCTATATTAATTTTCATTTAATATGATATTCTTCATTTTATTATCATTTTTTATCACTTTATGGCTATAATGAAAATTGAATATTATTTGTATTATTGTTATTGTTTTTTGTTATTGTGATTTTTACTTTTTACTTTTATTGCTTTTACAGTTTATTAAATGAATCTTTCCCAATGTTAACAATAAAACTCACATATTCTGATGTAATTTGTGCTAATTAAATTGCAAATTTTATTTTCTTAGCATATTTCCAAGGTGCACAGGTGAACCAAATTTTCAAACTATTTGTTTAGATTGTTTTGTTGAAAACATTTCCAATATTTTCCCAATAATAATATAGTTTTTGAACACAACACAAATAAATATACCAAAGAAATGAATAAATATGGAACAACATGAGTGGATGTATAAGAATGCCAAATGATTACTGTCAAAGTCAGTCTTTGTCAATTCAGTACAAAAAAGATACATAACAAGCCATACATTATTTTACAAGATACAAGATAAAATTTATTGTCTCCAATAAAAACGCAGAAATTACATAGTTCGCAGAGAAATTGTACAATTCAAACAAAACCACATTAAAATTGATCAAAAAAAGAATATTACATTAAATTTCCATAAAAATCCATTGACAAAACCACATTAAAACATTTAAAATTATATAATTGTAATTATATTGTATAATTGTATTTTAATATCAAATACAGTGTTTATTTGTACATGTAGTAAAAATTTCAAGTTTTAAATGAGTATATTCTTTTCAGTTTTTAAAGAATAGATAAGATAAACTTTATTGTTATGACCACAAAACATGTGTACATGAAATTTGGGTTCCTTGATGCTTAAACTATAATACACAAATAACGTGGTATAAAAAATATTAAACACAAGTTATTAAGGTTTTTGGTGGTATTTGTAAATATTTTTTACTAAATTATACTGAAGTAATACTAATTAGAATTTCTAGTTTGATATAATTTTAAAAGATAAAAACCATATCTGGCTTCACACATAAATTACTTTGCAATCACTTATACACAGGGGTCCCAAGTCTACCGCAAGTAGCAGGAAATTTTAATGCTCTCCTCCACTCGTGCAACCAACCAATAATCTTCCAGAAAATAACCCATCACCTGAAAATTTATTAAATGTGCATGTTTTTACTACTGTATTACCCCTTTACTATCATTTGTCTCACGGAAGTCAGTGTCGATGGGTACACTGGTATTGGCATTTATAATGCCCTCTTCCTTGAGGTTATAAAGAGCAGTTCTTTTCCCTGGTCATTGGGTCCACATGCTTTAAGTGTTACTGCTGGTGATCAGCACAGGAGCAGGCAACCCCACCAGGTACACATTTATACTCCTGGGTGGAGAGAAGCAACGTAGATAAAGCCTTGCTCAGGGACACAAGCTAAATTCACAGCAAGGGATTGAAACCCCGACCTCGAGGTTGGGAAACCAAAACCGTTCCCGCCACGCCAAACCGCCCCTAAGATCACCAAGAGCAGGAAAATAAAATTATATGTGCTACAAAAAAGCTCATTTGAATCATCACCTGGAAATGACTTCTTCCAACTTGCGACTTATGCTTAAACAATATTCATCTTTTGATAATAATTAATTTATAAAGTCTCATCTTTGACAGTTCTTTAGGTTATTGAAATTTAAATTGATTTCTCGTTTGATGGGAACTTTGTTGCTTAGGTACCAAAGTTGATGGTGTTGTAGTACGGAAATCTGTTGTGGAGAAACAGAAAGTAGTGCTAAAGGCAAAAGGTAGAAAATCATTTGATACAGTTGATAATCATCAACATATATTTCTGAATTTTATTTAAATGTCCATAATTAATCTTCTATCATTTACGTAAAACACATCTTGATATTATCTTTCTACCTTATTTCTTTCACCATTACAGTATTTTCTTGCTTTCTGAAAGTTATAAAGATTCTCCTATCTTCACATTAAGGTCTTTCCAAATTAACAAGACAGTTTTAGGCCTTCATATACCATACATAATTGGATGTTTCAGAATAGTAAACAATAAGAATTTATATTGATGTCATCATCTTCATTGACAAAGTTGATTGATTGACTGATTAATTGATTGATTTTTCATAGTGTTATCACATCAAATGTTATCAGCACATGCTTGTCTTTACTGAGCTCACATACACTCATGCTCAGTTTATGATAATAATTTGTAGTATTCAACACCATTGCTCTAATGTTTCAATCATTCATTATTATCATTATTACTTTTTAACTTGATAACTTGATAGTAGGGAATCCCACATTCAAGAAAGAAGGGAGCTGGTCCAGGCCATTAAAAAAATTTTCAAAAACTACACAAAAATGGAGAAAAAATGAAAATTATGTTCAAATTTAAGTCTGAGAGTGTCATTTCTGGCCATCTAGAGGTGCCATAATCATAACTTTTCTTACCACAACCCAAACCATGGTGGGCTGAGGTGATTTAGAAACTATATATGTGGAAGTCTCTCCTTTGGCCACAGCCTCTATGTTGAATTCCTGGATCTCCCACTGCAAATTGTACCAGAAGAAATTTGTTAGGGAAATGCTGTAGGTGACATAACTTGTGTGTGTGCGTGGCTCTCAAATTGATTTGTTGAAGGTTACACTTCAGTTAATAGTGGTGCTATACCAAATTATTCTGAAGAATTATTCTAGGATCCAGGCTACATCAGGGAGGTACTATTTTTCTCCACTGTGAAGAGTATAAAAAATATCTAATAAAAACACATTTCTTACAGTTTCAATGAAATTGATCATACAACACATTTTGCTTGTTTCAATATACCTGTATATTGTATGTTGTTTATTTCATGACAGTTCTCACAATCTAGTATCGCATAAATATTCTCAAAACAATTGTTATTTGTTGAACATATGGGAACATGTTTTTGTTATTTCTACTCACTGTACTTACTACTCAAGCCATGTATTTCAAAGGCAATTTGCTTGTTTCCATGTGTTTTTGAACTCTTTTAACGTAAATTTGGTCACTACAACTTGTAAATAGAAAACACACTGTACCATATAGGCGTACATCACTCTGTGTATTTTGTGACTACTAAATTTATGAATAGTGTGTCTATATATATTTTTGTGGAGGTAAATTACAAGATCAAATACGCACAGTAGTGCTTTTACATTGTCTTTATAGCCTTCACTCTTTAAAACATTCACAATAGAATATATGTATATTGTTTAGTGAAAAAACTCATGTAGTGCAGTGATTTATTTAGTATTCATCATATAACATTTGTTTTCATTGGTAAGAAGTCAACAATCTGACAAAATTGAAACTTTAAAAAAAAATTTTGTTACTTTGCAGAAAAGGTTGGTAATTTGTGAATAATTTTTATTTGTTGACTTTCCTCAGGTAAACAAATCAATAACAACATTACAAAGAAATCAAGCACTGAAGAGAAAGGTATGAATATACATCATTATCATTATCTCATCTTCATCATATCGTCACCATCAATATTGCTATAATTAGTTGTTATTATATAATCATTATATCAATTACTATACTATTTCTATATTATACTAATAGTACAGTATCTACCCGCTTCTTGGTAAAGGCCTCGTGAAGCATTCCAATGTTCTTTGATGTGTGCTATTCTGTGTTGCATACCATTTATTTGCTGATTCACCTTATTACAACAAAATTAGGTAGTTTTCGCTGTACGATGTTAACCTTAACGGTAATGGATGACGTGATAATTTATTCATCCTGCATTGCGGAGTATGTTAATTTAAGATTTTACGTGCTTGACGTACATTAGTTACGGGTTTGCACATGCATATTTCGATTTGTTTACAAAATGGGTGGATCTATCGCGTTGCATGTTGGGTAAACGTTAAGGTTAATATTGTGCGGCGAAAACTACCTATTGTATACGCTCTATACCAGTGGCGGCTCTAGGATATATTTTTTGTGGGGGGGCTACGTTGTCCGACGGGGGGACTTGAGCTCGTAGGCTCGAGCTGGGAAAAGGGGTTGAGAGGTTGTTCCCCTTTCCAAATGAGATTTTTTTAAAGAATATCAACCTCTAGATGGCCGAAAATAGCACTTTCAGACTGTGACAGACATGTGTTGACTTGGTGTTGGCCTATTTTTATATGTTTTATGGTCTGACTGCCCAACGAGCTCTGTCCGGTGGGGGGCTTAAGCCCCCCTGCCACACCGCTGGCACCGCCACTGCTCTATACCTTTGGTTATTAATTACAATTTATACTCCCACTGCATCTGTCCACAGTGGGATTGCCGATGGTTTTCTGTGGCAGTATGAATCATCATTGAATACGATATGCACATACCTCGTTTTTTTATGTAATCGCATGGGACCATTGGTTGGTATAGTGAGTCAGCCTTAAGAACAATACATCTGTTTCTGTATTACGTATTAAAAATTATTATTATCTTCTAGAAAAATCATTGTCTGCAGATCAGGGTGTGAAGGGTCGAAGCAGTGCTTTGTCAACTGAATTAGGGAAAGAACTCAATCGCAAGGGTGAGTGACCTATGATATTGGATCATTATTCTGTATGGTGACAAAAGAACACATCTGTTAATTCATTTCATCTTTCATTTAATTTATATTTATTTGTTTGTGTCTGGCAATGGCATAATAAATAACTTCTACAATAGATGAAAAATGGTGAAATATTACATACAATGTAACGTAGGGCCCACCTTGTTAAACCAAACATATTTTGCAAATCTACAATATCTGCAATCATCATAGTGGGCCTTGTATGCTGGCTATCTTGTATTATTATGCCTGTTTGCACTAGGAAAGAACCTCAGCACACGCTGACATAATACACAGAGGAGCTTAAAACCCTTTCACCACTTTGGCAGGGCCACTGGTCATGTAAACTGAGATTACCGTAATATACAGTACAGTATATTATACACAGATATAACACCATGCCATATTTGCCATGAATTAACATTTCTTTTATCACTTGATGTTATTTGTATTTAAAATTCTTTGACAATGTAGCATGGCAATAACTTTTACTGCATACCTTTCATCTAAATGATTTATTATATCTATATATTATTTTCGTACTTCTATATTTTCAAGAGAGATTTTCTAAGAGTTTGCATGAAGTATTATTTAATTTGTCAATTTGTCTTGATTTTTTTTTCACTATAATCACATGCATGTATGTTCCGTTGTGTCGTAGTGACATTTAGAACGGGAGAGAGTTCCCCTTCGTCAAGTTGTAACTCTAGTAGAAGGGGGTCACTTTCGTCAGTGGCTGGAGACTCTGACGTCTTCAAAGGTAAGAGGCTAGTAACCAGATACCTATTAGATTCTTGTCAATTAGATTCTGTATAGGCCTACTTTAGCTATTGGTGTGTACAGCTTTAAAGCTATATTCACGCTAGACATGATAACAACACAGTGACGACACGATAAAAATGCGCTCAATGTTCAACAGGCGCGGATCCAGAATTTTTTAAAATGTGGGGAGGGGGGGCCACAACATATTCAAAATAGATAAGTGAGAGTGCTAATTTCAATATATGCCTTGAGATTTTAAAATTTAGCGGCAAAACAGGGGGGCACGTGCCCCCTACTGGATCCGCCCTTGTTGAAGAATACGATGCGATAATAATGTCGTCGTTGTGTCATCATCGTGTCTAGTGTAAATGTAGCTTCACTTGAAAGCTTATAATGTTATGTTAACTTATTATTATCAATAATTGTTCTATTTGTAATAATAATAACTAACACAGTAAAAAAGTAGATTTGTAAGGTTGTGAAAACAAGAAAGACTGTCAAAATACGTGCTGTTTGTTAAAAACTTTTTGTGTAGTAAAGAATACAAAAGTGCTTGACAACCATTACGTGCTTATTGACTCGTTTTTTTGTTTTTACGAACTAACACAATCTACTTTAATTGTCTTAGTTGTGATGTGAGCGACGAATTATTTGGTACATACAGTACAAACATTTTTTTAATTGATTACCAGCCAAAATTACTAAAGCTGACTAAGATAAAATCTTAAATTATTCGTATAACCATGCATCATTCATATAACCATGCATTGCTATTGTAAAAGATTAAATAGTAATCAACTTCCAATGAAATTTAAACAATTCAGTTTCCACTTACAATTTTCCCTATATTCAATGCAGATCCAAAGATGTCTGAAAGGGGGCTAAAAGTGGGCCAATCGAGATAACACCACCCTAGAGGGTAGTAAGGGTTTTTGTTTTCTAGACACCAAATAATAATCTCTGAGGCATTTTGGGCTATCAATTTTTTCTTTCTCTTTTTTTTCCCCTTTTTTTGACTTTCCTAGGAGAGCCCCCTCCCCCACCCCCAAAAAAATTTTTTTAAATCCACCCCTGAAGAAACTGTATTTTTGTTATTTTAAAGCACTGAATCTCAATCTTTATTTTACTCATATATACTATATTATTGTTATATAATAAGACTGCAATTTAACTTTCTTCAATATACAAAGTAATCAAATAAAATATTGAATTGTTGGTTTCATATTTAACTCAACACTAACAGGTCTTGAATTCATATACAGTTTATGTACAGTAATGTATATTGATTTACTGGATTGTCAATATGTTAATATCTCATATATAATAGTAGTAATAATAATAATAACAACAACAATAATAATATTAGTTTTATATATTCAAGGAAACTCATTTAGTCTTTTAACAAAGATTGGTCTTGCAAGAAACCATGTTTTTAAACTACTATTTCAAACAGACGATTTAAAACAGCAAGGAAAATCTAAAGAAAGTACTGGTAACTGTACAATTTAAACAAAAACATATCTACAACATACTATAAAGGTTTGACACAATTATTTTGAAACTCTTTAGATCTTCAGCATTTTTTAATTCTTATTTTTTTTTTTCATCTTCATGTTCAGATATTTGGTTTAGTCCTGAATTACTCATTTGATACATAAATTGTTAATAGATATTTAAAAAATTAACGTCATTACCTTCTTTATCTTAATCAGGAAATGGCCAGGCGTCCCCCCGAATTGGCAGTACAAAATCGAGGCAGCAGTCTAGGCCTGGAAGTACTGTCCCTAGACCAGCTAGCACAGTTCCGGCCCAACCTAGGCCTGGAAGCAGCACTAGTGCTCAACCTAGGCCTGGAAGCAGCACTAACCCCCAACCTAGGCCAGTTAGTGCTAATCAAGGTCAAGATCTAAGCCCTCGTCCAGGGAGTCGATCAGCTTCAAATTCATCAAGGAGGGGTTCAATTACTAGTCAAGGTATTTTCTTGTATATTTATATCGCCTGTAATATTTGGAATGTGCATTACAGCATATAATTGTCATTTAATAATTAAAATTATAAATATTAATATAATAATATATATATTATTCATCATAAACCCATTTTAGATGTATTTATTCATTTAAAATATTAACTGTTCATAATATTTAATATGTTGATATGAATATTCAACATATTTTTTTTATTATATCATTGATTGATAACAATTTAATTGATGTCTCTTTTATAATTTAATTAATTCTTCTAAACATAAAATCCCCTAGCAAGTCTCATTGACCTGCTTGAAATGGCTGGCCAATCGCAATCAAAGATAAAATTACCGAGCTTAAGTAGTTCGTTGCCGCAACTACCCCGAAGCTTGGGAGAGGACGATATAGTGAAGGATATGAACTATAGCACTCTGTCACTGAAGATACTATCTGAGGTTGAAATTATCCAGAGAGCTAACACATTACCAGGACTTACTCAACCACTTGATCAGCTTTTGAAATCAACTCCTGAACTTCCCCCTCTAGAGATGAATGCTCTTATGCCAATATCAGAAATGGGCTCAACGACAGAAATCAATAAGTCAGACTTGATTGGAAATAACAAAATTAATGAATCTCTTGATGATGAGCAAATAATTGAAGAAGATGAAATTGTCACTCATGGTGATAAAACATCAACAGAGAATGAACATGTTAAAGAGAGAAGCAATTCAATTGAAGAATGTCTAGTGCAGACCAAGTCACTTGTCAGCAAAAATTCTGTTGCTGTTGATAAGAATTCAGCGTCTGAAAAAGTTAAACCTGTATTAAGAAATATACCATCTATCAAGACCATTTCTAAGAAACCTGGAACATTAGCGAACAAACAGCCGCCGAGTACGAACAGGCCTGGTAAAGGAAAGCCAACCAAGGAGGATAAAGGTACACCATTTCAAATGCAGTCAGATGGCATGACCCATTCTTTGACATCTGTGTAACATCTTTGTGCCTGCTGCCTTCAGGTCTCCAGTAGATCGCATTAGCTTGTAGTCTTTGCTCAATCATTTTACATCAGGTGTTCATCCCTTGCTTTATAGAAGATTTGTATTCTTTTATCAATCTGACATTTCCCATTGACATTATATCTTGCATACCATCATTTTAGTGTAGTGCATTGGATTTTAATATGAGATTTTGATATTGTAGTTCATTTAGATTTTGAATGTGTTCATTTAAGTAATTTCTAATGCATATTAACATTTGAGAAGAAACATCTTTAGATAATTCTTTTTAAATTATTTTTTCATCTGTCTATCCTTTTTCATATTTTATAAATTTTGTTGAAAATCATCCTTGTAATCATGGAGGCTATTACATCACCAAGCTTTCACCAACGAGTATTTGTCCTCAAAACCTATAGCCAATTGTAGCATTCAGCATTCTTTGAATCAGCTACTCAAAACATTCATTCTGTTGAAAAACATGGACTTGTTGTTTCTCTCATCTGTATACTTTATAGTTTCTTATCATTGTTTTGTAGTTTTCTTTTGTTTTCTAATGGAGTGCTTGGTATATTAACAATATATAAGAATATTTTTTTAATGTAATCTTTTTTTTTTTTAATTATACACTGATTGGAATTTAAAATACTTGTTAAACATTAACATGGTAACACATTTTTTGTTGCTATAATATGAATGAAAGGTTGTTTAAGATACACAATCAATTTATGTTTTAAAAGGTGGGAAAAAGGTCTCCCTCAAGAAACCACCACCCCTGGTTAAAAGATCTATCAAGCAAAAAGGTAAGTTATTGTTTATGTATCATGTTATGAGACATAATTGGTAGTTTAAAAGGATATTCTCAACCATTAATTACCTTGTATGCTGTGTTTAGGAATATTTGTTTGTAATTTGATAGAAAGCTTTTGCTTATTATAATTTACATACCCTCCATGAATTGTGGTTGATATATTTTCAGACCCAAAGCTTCCGCACAGTATGTCCATGCAGAACATGACATCCATTTCTGAAGTTTCAGGAGTAACTGGTAAATATTATTTACAATAATAATATGGATACAGATAAAATAGAATATATTATCATTATTCAAAAAAACACTAAAAACATTCTGCATCTTGTGTGGCCTTGCAGCCAAATATAATATTGTCAATAAAGAAAACGGAACACATCATGTTCATCAGCTTCAAAATATAATACTGTATAAAATATATACTTATCAATGCCTAAGAATGACCTATTTGCTTGTACACCAAGGAGTATGGAATTGTAAAAGGTCTGACTGTCCCGATTTTGCATGCATACAATGAAACGAAAAGTATTACTATTAGATAGGGAGCATCCTATTAGAATTTGAATATAGTTTGAAACTCGAACATGCATTCTGTAGACACAGCAAGCATTTTATACAGACGACTTTTACGTTCTTTTGAAAAACGCCCTCTAAGTCATGGTAATATGATTCCATCTCCTCGAAGCAAAACCAAAACATGGTCAACATGCTTTTTCTGTTCAAGCTCCTTCTCTCTGGAATTCTCTTCCTTTTTCTGTTCGTAATTCGCCTAATTTATATTCTTTTAAGAAAAACTTAAAGTTTCACCTTTTTTTGAGAAATGTTACTGAGTTTGTTTTCTCCTGCGCCTTTGTTAAATTTTTTATTTGGCGCTATATAAATGTTTATTATTATTATTATTATTATTAATATTTTTGAGATAGCATTATGTTTTGAGTACATTACACTAAATATTTTGATGTAGGTACATATTTTGCAGTCGAGAAGTCTTGGTCATAGGGAATAAATATGAAAAAGAACACATTATATATGAGAAAAAGGTGTATATGTATATATAAACTAGTAGGTTCATAATAGGTGTATAATTATTACTTAGTACATAGTAATGTGAGGCTAATCTTAACAGGTTCTGCATAGTAAAGGAAAGTGATGACTACTACTACAAAATAGAAGGCCAATGGTAATTGCATTTGTTTGTGTTTTTTATTATAGACATGCATCATAGTAAATCTAGTCCCAATTTACTGCCACATGCGGAAACTGAGGAAGATATAGGTATGATATTTAATATTTTCATTTTTCTAAAATTAAGAAGGTTAGCTTTTTGTTGTACTCACCATTTTTAATCTATTGATGTTTATTTCAGAAGTTGCTGAAAGCTCCTTAAATCAAAGTATGTCATCTCAGAATTCTATTGTGGCAGCACAAGGACAGCAAGGTAAGTGATTGGTGAAGCTTCAGAACCCAGGCAGTCAATAATGATAATAATAATTTTAATTTTAATAATGATAATAATAATTTTTATATTGTATGTTTTTAAAATTTTAATATGTTGTTTTATTTATTTTTATTTATTCATTTATTTATTCATTTATTTTTTTTTAATTTATTTTTTTAAAACTTTCGTTCATTTTAATGTTTAAATTTTTGTATTGTTTTTGTTAGCAGGGGTTTGGTTAGGCACATAAATAAATAAATAAAAATAAATAAATAAATAAATAAATAAATAAATAAATAAATAAATAAATAAATAAAGAATAAAAAAAAAATAATAAAAAAAAAAATTAAAAATTAAAAAAAAATAAAAAGTAGTTCATTCTTATATAGCACAAGTAAGCAAGCTCTCGATGCGCTATACAAAAACAGATAAGGATGTAATGTTAAATTAATGAAAAACTTGATGGAAAGAAAAGGTCTTTAGCTTGGTTTTAAAAGAGTTTAAAGTAACACACTGTCATGGTCTGATGGAGATTGGTATGGTGTTCCACAAAGTTGGAGCCAGTCATTCAATCAGTCAACCATCAATCAATCAATCAATCATTCAGCCATCCATCCATTTAACCAGCCAACCAATTGAATGACTAGTCATAAAAACAATCAATCAACTACCAAAATAACTAGTCAATCAAACAACCAATCAATCTAATAGTAAGTTATCAATCAGTCAATTAATCAATCAAATTAACTACACAACAAATCACTCAACCAGCCAACAGCATATATTAATTAATTAATATCAATTAATCAACCAACCAATCAGTTTATTAACGAATTGATCAAACCATTATTATGTCATACGGCATGGCAATCATTATCATGATGATATATCAGAATTAATTATTGTAGGATTGAACCTGTTAATGTTTATTTTAGACAATGCTGAGAGCTCTCTGAATCAAAGTATGTCATCTCAGAATCCAACTGCAGCAGAAACCCAGGGAAAGAAAGGTAAAATGATTGGTGAAGCTGCAGTCAGTAACTGGCTGTACACCAATCACCCCACTAACTAATAAGTCAACCAATCAATTAATTATTTTTTAAATTATCCAATCAGTTAATCACCAAATTACCTAATCAATCAAATTAATTATTTAACCAGCCAATTAACCAATCAATCAGTAAATTTGTCCATCAATCAAACAAGCAGTTAAAAAGCCAGTCAATCAAACAATCAGTTGATAAACTAATCAGTCAATCAATCAGTCAACAAGTGAGTCAATCGGTTAACTAAGCAGCTAATCTTAAAGCCAATGTGCAAATTGATTGATCAATCTATCAATGATAATGAATTTTTTATAAAGCAAGTGGCTCAATGATTCCTTGGCTAAAGGCCAATTCAGACAGCGTCGTACAACAATGCAGCCCAACGCGATTCATCTTCATGGACACAAGCCATCGTGAGAAATATTAAACATGTTTAATATTCTATGACGCATCAGGCTGCGTCTTACGACGTTGTCTGAGTGAACCATAATTATGTTTCCATGGTAGTAAATTTACCGTATATATACTCTCGTATAAGGCGACCTGCGTATAAGATGACCCCCAAGTTTGAGAAGGTTTCTGGACGATTTTTGTATGTCAGGCATATACGACGACCCCCACTTCAAATTTGGAATTTATAATTTTTGCAGCTCTTTTTAGTCTTGGTACTGCATCTAAGAGCTAAATTTCAAAGTAATACAATTTTATGGGCTTTTTGAATATTAATCAAAATCTTATTTCCCAGTATTTAAAATTGCATGTATTCATACTAACATTTTAGTAGCTTCACTGCAGTGGTAAATTCGCATCTTACGGACGAACCGCACAAAAGATGAACGTGATTTCAAAAAGCTAATATTTGTATGTCACTTATATGTATGACCACCTGTTTTTCGATCATAATTTGCTATTTTAAGCCTCGTATTATACGCGAGTATATATGGTAATGATGATAATCAGAAGTAATCATTGTTGATCACTATGCATGAAGCAATAGAGCTAACATGTGCATATGCAATCCTCACTGACCCAGAATCACAATATCTAGATATCTAGGCAAGCACCATAATATCACATTAATCTAAAAATCTAAAAAAAAAAACACACATTTTAAGTAACTTATTGATTTTATTTATTCCTGCTTCTGTAAGTTGTGGCAATGGATGCCAGATCAGGAACCAGTTCCATTGGCTCTATCAACTTATCTTTGGATAGTTCCTCTGTTTCCAGTCAAGGTGTTTTTCTCTTTTTTATATAAACAGCTATTTAATGTGTAACTTATTGTGCAGATATTGAGGAAGCTACTTCAATATTGCCTTTTCTACAACTATTACTACTGCTGCTGCTACCTTTAATGCTGCTATTTCAACTGCTACATACAGCTTCTACTACTGTTACTTCTGATGCTACTAATAATAATTTGGTAGACTTATATGTACTTCATACCAAGACCTTTAAGTTCAAATTATTACCCCCGGTCATTGGATCAAGCACATAATGGAACGCATACTCATCTCCCTGGGGAGAATTCCATAATATTGCAGCGCCTTTTTTTGTTTGAACCTACCAAATACTCAATTTATTCAAGCATGGATATAGACAACCATAGGTGAAGTGCCTTGCCCATGGACACAGGCAAAATGCACAGTGAAGGATTGAACCTCTAAACTCAATGTTAAGAAGCAAACTGCTACTACACTACTACTTTTGCTGCTACAACTTTTGTTACAGATTCTGTTATTACTGCTGCTGCTGCCACTGCTGATGATACTAATACTACTGCTACTAATATTACTGCTGTGACTGCTACAGCTCCTATTGTACTTTTCATACTACTACTGCTTCTGCTGCAAAAGTACTATTACTTTTAGTACTAAATGCTAAAATAATTAAATATTATTGTACTGATTATTGTACTAGGCTTACTCCAGCTACCTGTATGTTTCTCTGCTCATGAACATCATTTAGTGCCATGCCTTTGCTTTTATAATTTGCATATAACATGAACCTTGACCTTTACAGAGATTTTGCATATTTCCTCATTTTATTGATCATCTGTTCCAAAAGTTTTGGAAAATTTTAATATTTTTTTTGTCATCTACCCTTTTCAATTGCTTTACATGTTTTGTTGGTATTTTTATGTCCATTACATCAAATTATGTTCACTTTAAAAATCTGGGTTAATTTTGTTCTCAGCTTTTAAGTTTGTTTCATTTGTTTCAGAGCAACAAGGAATGTCTCGTATTGAGTCTTGTCACAGCTTGATTTCCACTAGTAGTTGCAGCTCTACTGATTCTCAAGGTTTGTGTAATCATTTGTTATCACAAACTTTTCCACTAAATGCATTGTAGATTCCTACAACCTACAACACAGATTTATCTCCTGCAGCAGGTTTTAATCCAAGGCCATATTTCACTCCAGTGACAGTCAAATTCATAATCAGATTTGACTCGCAGGGAAAGATGTAAATCCTGGGGAAGAATGAAATCTAAAACCAAAACTCACGGGGCAGATTGTATTCAGACTAGAATATATTCCCAAGCAGAGCTATAAACTAAATATAATATATTCTGGTTTCAATGGTTGTATTTATGCAAATATAAGTCAAACAGGGCGCCACGTACGAACCGTCTCCCTAACAAACGTCCTCATTAACTTTTCTACGTTCGTTCATTCGACGATTAATTTGTGTATTTTAATGATTGTGTTTATGATTTCTAATCATTATCATGACTTATTATTATGACTTGTAATCATGACGATCATATCTTGGTTGTTTTCATGAGTATACAGATGATATTAATAATTCTATTTATCTGTGAGACTAATAATAATAATTGCATTAGACCAGATTGCCTGTTTGCATTTAGATTAACATATGAATGTGATTATAATAATACTAACATTTTTTTTTCTTTTTCATTTGTTTACATTCTTTTTAATTACATAACATTATGAATGTGATTATAATAATAGTAATAAAAGTTTCTTTTCTTTTTATTTGTTTACATTCTTTCTAAATAGATAAAATTATGAATGTGATTATAATAATTCTAAGAGTTTCTTTTCTCTTTTTTTTTTTCATTTCTTTACATTCTTTCTAAATTTAGCCCCTGATAAGACCCCCTTGTTACAAGGGGCATCTGGGATAATGGGGTCCAAAAACTGGGGAAAACCTGTCAGTCTAATGAATTCATTTAAGGGCCTGTTTTCAGCAAGGCACAAGAGTTCAGACAAGTTAACAGGTATATCTATGAAAGGTGCTTTGAAAGCCCTACCAAATGTTTGGCCATATGTACAGTATGTTTGCTGCATCTGTCTGGAATATAAATACCGTATATATTACATCACATTATATGCTAAAAAAACATTGTATGTGTTCTGCGCCATTTTATGCCCGTTATCGGTTAAATTTTATCTGTTTATTTCCTTGATGTTAACTGAACGGGATTCTCCTTCATTTAGCACCAGAGGTTAAAACTCCTGTAACTTTATAAAAAATGTCGAATTCAAATGATTCGTTTACCATTTTATTGCTCTCATTTTACTGTTTAACCCTGTATTAATAACTAATAATCAATTTTTCTGACGAGTGACTGGTTTGGCTTGTCTTTGCCACGTATTCTTTGTTTGACCCTACTGTACAAACTTATTTTGGTTTTTGTCGAATATGTACATTGTTTAATTTGCATCAAATTTTATCAATACTTGTACTGGTTTCAATATTTTGTTGAACTTATGGCTGTGTATCTTGTAATAAAATGGCAGTCTGTAACTACCCTTTTATAGATATCTAGTGGCATGTAATACCCCCTTCACACTGAACTAGTTCGCACTACGTTCTGGAGAATGAGGTGGAATATGATCCAGATTCCCGTTATGAACGTTGTAAAGACTGCCTGAGAACACAGTGCAAACGGGCAAGACTGAGCATGAACTGTTTTGAATGGACATGTCGTAGTGCAAACCATGTAGAAAAGTCCTAGAACTGCAAACGGGGTTACAAGTTCAATTGGGGATGGGTCGAACTGCAAACGACATTGAATGTAACGTCTTCCCGTTCTAAACGTTGTGCGAACGTTGTACAAACCATCAGCAATCGTAATGCACTTACCTCAAACTGTGTTGTGTCATAGTAAAAGCCAAAATTGCACATTTCAACCCGTCTAATAACTAATAATCAATTTTTCTGACGAGTGACTGGTTTGGCTTGTCAATGCCACATATTCTTTGTTTGACCCTACTGTACAAACTTATTTTGGTTTTTGTCGAATATGTACATTGTTTGAATGTAACGTCTTCCCGTTCTAAACGTTGTGCGAACGTTGTACAAACCATCAGCAATCGTAATGCACTTACCTCAAACTGTGTTGTGTCATAGTAAAAGCCAAAATTGCACATTTCAACCCGTCTTCATTCCGTTTCATGGAAAAAATGGGCAGGAACGTTTTTTTAACTAGTTCAGTGTGAAGGGGGAATAACTAATACTTAGCTACTTAATGTTGTATTGTTATTGTTATGTACACCTGAGAGAATAGTGGTACTCCCTTTATATGTTCAGTTGACATAACATATCCTGATGTTGTGAATTGTTATGTACCTAATAACTTGTCAGGAAAATATTAGGACTAAACTAACCA